GAAGCCTTTTGAACCCTCGGAAGCCAAAAAGGCAGGGAGAAAGCGTGGGAAGTCTGAACTTCCCGCGCTTTCTTCCTTTCTTTCTGGCTTCGAAAGCAAGCTGGCCGGCCGGGGAGAAATCGGCTCCCTCCTTCCACCCGATGGTGAGGCCCCTTTGCGCCGGCTGAGCTCAGCCCAGTGTGGACTCAACATCAGGTGAAAGGAGGGAGCCAATTTCTCCCCGGCCTGCCGGCTTGCTTCTGAAGCCAGAAAGGCAGGGAGAAAGCGTGGGAAGTTCAAACTCCCCACGCTTTCTCCCTGCCTTTTTGGCTTCGGAGGTTTCAGAAGGCTTCCTCTGATGTTGGAGGAAGCCTTTTGAAAGCTCCAAAGACAGGGAGGAAGGGCAGGAAATTCGAATTTCCCACCCTTTCTCCCTGCCTTTTGGGTTCATAACCCGATCTGCCTTCGCAAGTAGGGTTTACTACTTGCGATGAGATCAGGTTTGTAACCCGAAATGTTCACAACTAGGGCCGTTCATAAGTCGAGGGCCCACTGTAGTCCAGATTTTTTTAAATTTGGTTTATTGTTCAGATTAGTGTATTTGTGCCCACTGCCCGTGCAGCCATACATCCCATCAGTTTCCAGCAGTTTCCCGTTACATCTGAGCCCAAATCCCATATTCCCTGATAAATCAGGAAGAGAAAACCAACTTGAATTCCTGGCTTAAGACTCTGGCTTGATGACATTGACAACCTAGGGGGTCCAAGGTCACATGACTGGAGTTTTTGTTCTTTATTAGTTTAGCCTCTCCTGCTGATGAGAGGTGGTCACTGGGCAGAGTGTACTGGCAACACAGAGAATCAGTAAGAAGCCAGAATTCTGAGTTATCTTTATATTCAAAACATGGCAGCTGGCTTAGTAATTTGAATGTTAGCGAATCCTTTATTTCACAGAGCACAGAAAATATTGGCTGTAGTATAAAATATTTCTTTTATTGTTAAGAAAATTTTATTCTTTAAGCTCAATATACTCTGTATATAACACCTTCAGGCTTGGAGCTGCTTCAGAGGGAAATAACACAACATGGAAATTTTACTTCAAGCTCTACTGCTTCCTGGATACCGAACATGTGCCAAAAGATAGTGTGGAATTTGCATTCATGTTTGAGCAGGTAAAAAGAATAAGATTTAATGTCAAGAAGAGTGTGGTGCTTTTTTAAAGTGTGTATACCATCCAAAACAAAGACAAAAGCTACTGCAGAGACAGTTTGTAAATACCCATAAGTGTGCAGCTGTTTCAGATGTCAAATGTTGGCAGAGCAGGAAAGAGTTTGATCGGATCTATGGTATGTGGAACAATCCAGAAGGATGCGCTCCTGGCACTAGTTCATTTGAATAAGATGGTCTTTTGGAGCAGTTCTGAGTGGCATCAGCAATAAAAATATTTCTGATTCATATTTCTACTTTTGGAAACTGCTTTCAAAGACAGAAACAGTGGTGATTATTCATAATAGGGATTCTACTGTTTAGCTAGGCCTAGCTTTGCTTAGGCTTTCTGTTCCTGTCCCAGTGCTAGCTGGGAGTTTTCTTTCTGAACAGGAAACCAGCCAGAGGTAGGCCTAACTAAGCCCCATAGCCTTCTAGCTTAGGCCTTTTCTCCCAGGTGAGTGAAATCAGATAGAATTCCCAGAACAGGGTATTACAGGATTTATAATCCAATAAACCTGAAAATCCCATTGCTAGTATCTGCTTTTCTTTGACACATATCAAATTGCATTTTGACCCATCATTTGCCTTGATCACTGAGTTATATTGACTGAAATCCTGTTAGTAACATAAACCAAAGCATAATGTCCCATTTGTTCCTCCCTGATAAACAAGAGTGCTGCGATTCTCAGATGTGCATTCGTGCACACACGAAGCCTGGCTGTGTACCTGCCCCCAAGAATTATGGCAGCAGTGTTTTGTTTAGTAGGAGGAAGGGATGGAAAGTTATGCTCTGGCTTACTCTGCAAACAGGATTATATACTTTTTGGTATTCCTATGCCATGTTTTTATACTTGCTGTATTTGCTTTGTTTTTCTGTGTCTGTCTTAAATATGAATGTTTATCAGCCACATCAAAAACCTGTAGAGCTTGGGGTACACAAAATGGACATCAAAATCTGTGACTTCATTATTTCCAGTATCTCACCAGTGATCCATGGGTGCAGGAAACTGTGGTTTAAGATCCTGGTTATTAAACAGTTGCAGCAGGGAAACCCCTGCTACAGTTGTTTAAGCAGATCACGTTTCAAACACTGAAACTCATTTAAGGGAGATGCTAGGCTGGCCGTCATGCTATTTTCCTTCCACTACAAGTAGCAGATAGTAGAGGCAGGTTTTTGACAGTTGACTGGCTGCTAGAAAAGTAACCAGCATGAATGAGTGTTCTGCTTCCCTGTCCATGTATTTTCTAAGATGTTTTTAATTCATTAGTTCTTTAATGTAATCATTTATTTAATTGGATTTTAACACTGAAATAGTTTATATTATATATATCTTGCTGTGAGCAACCTATCTTGCATCCCAGTTTTGTATGGAAATGAATGTAAATGAAAACAAAGTAAATGCAGAAACATGTGTATAAATAAAAAAGAGGTTGGAAAAATAAATGGAAGATGCTATTAATATGTCTCATCCCCTTGTAAAACATCTAAGTTGTTGATCATCACGGCATATTCTGGAAGTGAATTCCACAGTTTTAAAGAAGCACTCTTGTCCCTGTGTTGTTGTTTTTTAGGTTATCCATAAGTAAACAAAAAAGATGACATACCTCTTATGCTTGCTATAACCATTAATTGGAACTATTAGCAGCAGTAGCGGCTCATTATTGTTTCAGTTATTCCTTTGGCTCCTCCATTACTGATTGTTAGGAGCACCATCCAAACAACTGTGCATGAGTAAATGCAGAAGCACCAAGTGCCACCACTCTTGGAAGAAAGGACAATCATATAATAGTTTAGGATGTAATCGACTAGAAACATGGTTGAGGTACTCTCCTCACTAGCCAGTAACCTCACATGGCAGCTTCATCTTGCAAGCAGGCAGGTGTTTCTTTTGCAATTACAGTGGTGCCTTGCAAGACGAATTTAATTCGTTCCGCGGTTAATGCCGTCTTGCGAAAAATTTGTCTTGCGAAGCGCGCAAATAAAAACAAAGTCAAATTGAGTTGAGGGTTTATTAAGTGCTCTTTAGAGCCATACATAATGTGCAGATGATTTCAAAAATTTCAATCAAAAAACTAACTTTTTAAACATCATAGAAAAACATTTAAAAATCAGCAAACATGAGGCAGGAACATCTGCCTTCACTGAAACTGAACAGAACCAGTCACTAACAGTCCTTGGATATTGAAAAACTCTTCAGAAAGTGCATTTTCAAGGCATGTAAACATGCAGAAACCAACAGTACAGAAACTTTTTACATTTCACATTTTATAGTGAACAAGTGAGGCTGAAGTCTTCTAACAGAAAACATCTTGCAAAGCATGGCCATAGGAACATTCGTCTTGCGAGTCATCAATCCTATCGCCAAACCCATTCATCTTGTGAGTTTTTCATCCCATGAGGCATTCACCTTGCAAGGCACCACTGTATATCTGCAGTTCTCTACAGAGAAGCTGGTTACCTGCAGAAGCAGCTGCTTGGCTGCCCTCCGGTGGCTTTCATCAACACTTGCATAGGCACAAGTGAACAAAGCTAGGAGGGTTGTAAGTACATACTATAGTTCCCATTGAGTATTTTTGTGGGAGGAACAGCAAACAGTAAGCCCCAAATCAGTAATAACTACTTCCAATACTGATTTGTACATCACGCCCTGCTGTTCAAAGCACATCATACTCATCAACCAGTGAGCCTTACTACAACCCAGCGATGCAAATATTATCTTTGACTTGTGGGGGCAGCAGTGGGAATCAGATAGGGGCTGAGAGGCTTACCTAAAACTGCCTGGTGAATACATGGCAAGTGGTAGGATTGAAATTGGAGTCAGTCGGTGCTGAAACTTAAGATCCAGAATGTTGCAGTGTATCTCATTGTGAAAGGATTGCTTTTCTTCCCCATAGGCACATGAAGCAGTGATTCGAGGACATTATCCAGCTCCCGAAGAAACCCTCCAGATCCTGGCTGCCTTGCGGCTCCAGTACCTACAGGGAGATTACACTTCATCCAATATCACCGTGCCAGAAATAGAAGAAGTCTATCCATTGCAGAGGCTCAGATCTCGCATTATGCAGTCCACTAAAACATTTACCCCAACAGAGAGGCTAGAGAAGAAGCGGACCAACTTTCTGGAAGGAACTCTCAGGAGGAGTTTCCGCAGTACTTCCATCAGCAGGCAGAAGATGGAAGAGGACCAGATGCTGGATATGTGGGTGAAAGAGGAGATCTCTGCAGCCAGAACCAGTGTGATTGACAAGTGGAAAAAAATGCAGGGAATGGGCCAGGAACAAGCAATGGCAAAGTACATGAGCTTGATTAAAGAGTGGCCTGGCTATGGGTCAACCCTCTTTGATGTAGAGGTGAGTGTACCAACATTCTTCTGGCATTTTCAACAGCACAATCTTTCACAAAAAATGCAGCTAAACAGAGCTTTCTAGACTGTGGGATGTAAATTAGATTTTATGATACTCTTCCAAACGTTTGCAAGTCTGTGCACCATCTCTTTGTAAACTGCTTTGCCAGCATGGATGGGAGAGGTAATAAAGTTATGATAACATTTCATCTGAGACGGATTGAGAAGCAGCCCCCAAATGCCCCTTAAATCTTCACAGTTGTTTAGAGAAATATTGCTTACACCAGTGGTCCCCAGCCTTGGGCCTCCAGATGTTCTTGGACTAGAACTCCCAGAAGCCTTCACCACCACCTCTGCTGGCCAGGATTTCTGGGAGGTGAAGTCAAAGAACATCTGGAGGCCCAAGATTGGGGAACACTGGCTTACACCACTTTAAGGAGCTGTTAGGTCTTTGTGGCATCAGCAGCTATTACAGTAATGTATGCCTGTCCCAGGGAAGCAGCATAGAGAACTACATCTAAAAGGCCTCCAGACTAAATGTTTTCATATCAAAAGTATCTTCACAGACATTGGGACCAACCTGCCCTTCCCCACTTACTCAGCTAAAGTCCAGCTTAGTGGCCCTCTTTCCTGATACATCTAAACTGTTTAGTGTAACCATTCTGTCTAAGCATTAGCATCTAATTTTCTGGAGTGATTCAGGCCTGGAACATTTGCATGTACAAATCTTGTTGAGATTCCCCAATCTAGGAATTTATAAGAATCTAATAAGAAGAAAGAGTCAAATGACTTTAATTGCATATCATCTTTTCTTAAGCAGTAGTAGCACAGTGAGGGGTACAAAAAGTGAATTACGAAGCACACTGCAGGCTGAACAGTGCTCTAGAAGTAATTATTTGTAACTGCATTTGGGTAACCATAGGAGTATTCAATAATCATTTGTGCTACCATTTCCCCAAAAATAAGAACTGACTTGAAAATAAGCCCTAGTATGATTTTTCAGGATGCTCATAATATGAGCCCTACCTCCAAAATAAGCCCCAGTTAAGTGAGACCCTGCCTTCCACTATTGTGCAGCAACCAGAAGATGACATGACTGGATTTGAATAAATGTAGATTGTTGTACATGAAAAAATAAAATAAAACTTCTCCTAAAAATAAGCCCTAATTTTTGGAGCAAAAATTAAAATATGACCCTGTCTTATTTTCGGGGAAACACAGTAGTTTGTTTCCATTCTCTTTATGATTTTCTGTTTTTTGCTTCCCTAGTGTAAAGAAGGGGGCTTCCCTCAAGAACTTTGGTTGGGTGTCAGTGCTGATGCTGTTTCGGTCTACAAGCGTGGAGAAGGCCGGCCGCTGGAAGTGTTTCAGTATGAACATATTCTCTCCTTTGGTGCTCCCCTGGCTAATGTCTACAAGATTGTGGTTGATGAAAGAGAGCTGCTTTTTGCAACCAGTGAGGTGAGAAAGGATTGCCACTGGCCCCTTCTGCTTTGTTGCTCTTTTCAGATCCCTTTACTTATTGGCCAGTTGGTATAAAAAGAAAAAGCATAACCACTCTGCCGGTGTTCGGGATCTTCCATGCTTCTGTTGCCTGCACAATTTCACAAAAGGTCTTAGGCTGAAACTTCAGCCTTGTGCATACCTACTTGAGAATAGGTCCCATAGATCTCAGTGGGAAGTGCCAGGAAGTGTGCATAGGACTGAGCTGTTAAAGAAGACGTAGGACAGCTTATTCCAGTGGCCAGGCTCCTGACAGTTAGTTACAAAAGCATAAGTCCTGTGACATAAACCACAGCAGCAAACTGGCACTAGTTCATGAATTGCTACTTCTACACCCTGTTCACACAACAGTTCATGCAGCTAGTGCATAATGAAAAATACAATTGCCATCTTGTTAACCAGTTTTAATTCACTTCTGCTGCTCATGCCACTGCACTTAACACTGGCATAACTATTCCACTGGGTTTGGACCAATCCTTGTTTCAGGATAAGCTTGTGTGCCCTTGCTCTTCCACAAACAGCTCTTGAGTTATATACTGTAATAAGGCTGTACTACACTGTTTTCCTTTACTGTAAAAAGGATACTCAAATTTGTTTTAATTTGGTTTGGGTTTTTTTTCCTCATTTTTTAAAACTGGACAGTGTTAGAAAAACTGTACACTGGTAGAATATGTAGGAAGATTTGCTGTATAATTAATGTGCAGAATTTCCTTGGTGAAGAATACTATGGCCCTGCCATCTCTTAATTATTATTTTGAGAACATATGCATACAATTTCATACATTCTTGTCACGTAAATATTGTTAAGTGCAGTTTTACAATTAGATGGGATTGTCCTTGTCCCTGTTCTGCTGGCTTCAGTGAAAATGAAAAGACTGGTTCAGTTCAACAAAATGTAAAATGTAACTTAAAGCCACATAACCATCAACAGAACCCAGAGCCAGTCGGAAAAATACAGTGTGACTTTTCCTGGACTTGGACCCCATTAGTCTACAATTGGAAAAACCTCATATAGGTGTACTCTTCATTAAAAAAGAGAGAATCATTAACTTATTTTGCACTGCTCTTATTGTCTTGGTAGGTGGTTGACATTGCCAAACTCATGAAAGCCTATATCAGCATGATTGTGAAAAAACGTTACAGCACCTCTCGATCAGTGAGTAGTCATGGAAGTCAAGGCAGCTCCAGGTGAAGCAAATAAATCTGCTGAGGAAACATATCACTGCCAACCTATTGTTTCTCCCAAAACAGTGACCAGAGACATCTCTCAAGCTACAAATAAATTCATGATCCTAGGAGAACCTTCAAGCAATACTTGTTGTGCCACAAGCTTAGCAATATAACATCTCCTTGCTTTGTCCTGTACTAAACTTTATCAGATAGCATCCTTTCAAGCCTTCCAAAGTTGTTACCTCTCATAACATACTATATGCCTTAACTTTTAATACACTGCTATCGAAGCAGGAGAAGTGCCTTAGAATGTTTTTAAACAAACGTACATTGATCTACAGTACATTGTATTATCACAGAACTTTAATCAACCACTTAGAACATTAAGGAAGAGCCCATTCAGCCATCTTGCACTAACCAATTGACTGGTTCATGCATGAGGTGGGAAAGAAGCACCTTCGTTGGAATGCTGCAGGCGGCCTTCCTTGTGGACTTTAATCACAATGTTGTGTTCTCCTTCCTTGCCCCCATCTTCCTTTCATATGTGTGCATGCATATACGGCCAGGGTCATCTTTCTCTAACTTTATTCCATGTCTCAAAACCTTTTGAAATTAAAAGGGAATAATAATGTGCAATGGTGTAAACAGTCTTTATGTACATTTTAATAGTCCAGAGCTATGGTTGTCTCGATTGTAGAGTTTCTTTATAAGCCAGTTTTATTTACAAATTTGAGGGGCGGTTTCACAACAATTTTTTTTGTATTTTCTTCTAGAAAAGATCTCTTTTCCACCTTTTGTTACATATGTATGTAACATGTCTGCATTTCTGTACCTGCTGTATTATAGATAACACGTTTAGTTGAAAGAAACTGTATTTATAGAGTGCCCTTAATATGGAAATGCCATTATCAGCACAATAGTCAATCATTTGTCTTCAATTTATAAAGTTACGTGGTTTTTAAAAATATATTAAACATTTCTTTTGAAAATGTGTACAGTATTTAAAAGGTTTGTATGATGCTAGTTGGAGCTTGTATATGAAACAAGTAAATCAGATAGAAAATTATGAATTGGATTTAATGGAGGATATGCTGTGTCTTCTTAACATTTAACTGCTCTAGATTCATAAGAAAAGGAAATAATGGCATCAAACAGTAGAAAAACTGTCCTAGGACTTCAGTTCTGCACTGAAAACTTGTAATATAGACTAAGTAATTGGATTACTAGTCTTAAAGGGGTAGGGTGAGGGAAAAACCCTACAAACAGTAAACCCAGTTTTCATATGGTTGGGTTTTAACATACTGTGGTGATCCCCCTTGTTGCCCCTTTATTTCCTTTGGGCTCCACAAAGGTAAACACGCCTTTTTCCTTCTTTTCACTGCCACCAGGTATTTCTCCTAATACCACTACAATTCCCACACACAGGAGCTGCTCATATAACTTAGGAATCAGGGGTTTGATCAAATATTCTTTTATTAATGAACAAAATCATAAGGAGAATCAAATATATAACTGTTTCAGGTGTGCATATATATGATCAGGTATTCAATCACTGGTGTTTCTCATGTTAGGCTTATATGTTCATTCCTGCTTGTCCACTATGTTTTACTCTTTCAATTTCCTTTCTTAACCCCTTTTTAGCTATTCCTAAACCCTAGCACTCTCTCCACATCTTCTTGTCCCTACTTCTCTCTATCCCTTTCTGATTCCAACTGTCTCTACTCATTCTAACTGTCATTCTGACTCCGCCCCTCCTGCTCTATCCTCTGATTGACATGCAGGAATGATGTCATCTTTTGGGTTCCGCTACACATGCAGTCAATGCAATTCTTGCCTTGTGGGTCTGTCTAATAAGGTGATGCAATATTTATACCCAAACTGCAGTTCAGTCAATCTGCTGATAGAATCTAGGTCTGTAACAGATGCACAGAAAGCAAAAACTGACGCTTCACAATCCCAGAATTCACAAACAACTGAAGTTTCCATGGTGAACCTTGCCAGAAATTGATCATTTTAAACTTCAGATACAGAAATATATATGGGATCCCACAGATTTGCTAGGATACCAGTGGATTCACTATGGCATTTCCCATGCTGAAAAACACAGTACTGTACTGAATTTCTTTAGTGCATGCTTCCCCCCCCCCAATGGGGATCCTGTCCTTCCCAGCTGTCAGGAGTAAGCAGGCTCACCCTTAGTTCCTCCAACAGGTGATTTCCTAGTGTCTAAAGACATACAGTCCTGCCATAAATTATTAGAGTTATCGCTTTTACACTGATTTTTAAACATTTGACAGGTATTAAATGTGATGGTATTATTCCATTGTAATACTGAACAGCTTGACTTTGCTCTATTTGAATTTGAGATTTGACATATGTGCAGCAGAATATAAACGTACCAGCAGGGAACAAAACTTTTCATTTTATGAAAACAAGTTAAACCTAGTTAAAGGTGCAAGGATATAAAAACACTAAAATGGCTCTTAACACGCCTGGAAGAATAATGTTCTCCATCTGGTGTGGAAAAGATCATAACACAGGCATCAGATGAGCCCTCCTGGGAACAGTATTTCACAGATGGACGCCCTACTGGGAAAGCCTTTTTTTTTTTGTAGCCACCTATCTTGCCCCATATGGTAGGAGCAGGTTGAAGCAAGGGTCAAGTGTGGTGAGTATGGTATGAGACACTCCAGATAACCTAAGCTATTAACTGCTTTTTCAACCCTTTCAAATGCTTTATTATGAAAATTAGGATAAAAGACAATTACTTTGTTTTGTGTTGTTACAAAAAGATGGGAGGAGGGGCTGATTTTCCAAGAGTTGTTGGATTTCTATTCCTATCCACCCTAGGCAGTGTTGAGAAGAATGTGTGGGGTTTAGGCCAAAATCTGGAGAACCAGCCATTTCCCATTCCTAAGTGTGGAATTGGAGCTAGTTTCACTTCTAACCCATAGGCAGTTCAGTGTTGCCATCTGAAAATGAAGTAATAATGACTTTGAGGACTAATGACATGAGGGATTTAAAGCTTGAGGGATTATAAAAAGGAGTGCCTTTCACAATTGTCCCCACTTTCAGCCAAGTTTCCTTTCTCCAACAACATTTGCCCTGTTCTTCATCCAACAGGCCCCATGCTTTATTTAAGTTCCCAAAATTGGATAATTCAGGTATTCTTGGACTACGAGTCTCGAAAGCTGTCAGCACTAGCTGTTGCTGGCCAGGGTTTCTGAGAGTTGCAGTCCAAGAACGCCTAGGTCCACTAAGGCTGGGAAACTGCTCTATCCCCAAGGAGCTGGGGCTTTTTAGCATGGCAACCCATTGTCCTGTTAGGTCAAGAATCTTGCCTGTTACATCACATTAGGCTTTGGTTTCCATGGCGATGGAAAAATATAAAGGCTGCTGCAGAGTCCTGTAGGCTCATTTTAAAAGCAGCACTTGATGGGTTGTGACTGAACCCACGGAGGGGCTGCCAAGCTCACTAACAGACTGGAAGTATGGAAGGAAAAGCAGGTTGTCATGCTCACCTTCAGGTAAGGAGCGGTCAGTGTATGAATCTCGTTGCATTTTTTTAAAAAAAAATAAATGTGCTTTTGTGAAGAAGAGCTCAGGAAGGCCAAACAAGACTTGAAAAAGGGAATTGATAAAGGTTGAAACTACTGTTTATTAAGGGGAAGGAATTGGTGTCGTTTAATTCAGCCTTAGTAACTGAGGAGTCAGTTAAAATTTAAAAAGAGAAGCCTCCAGGGAGGAAAAACTGGATTTTCTAAGATACTTAAAACTTTGAATGATACCTTGGTTTGAAACTGGCCAATTTTTTAAGGAATATACAGGGTTCTTAAGAGACAACGGGAATTCCCCTCTTTATTTTTGACAGATGAACGCCCTGAGGTATTACTTCAAGGAAATAGTGTCATACTATGGATCAGTCTAGTTGAGTAACTGCCACCCACCTCTTGTAACTGTCAGTTCTGAATATTCTTCTGTTTATTTCCTAATCGTGGACTCTTTTTAAGAAATTAAATAACAAACCCCAAGGGTATGATGTGAATTAAACTCAACAATTGTTGGCTTTGACCACCCCATTTCCTATCCTCTCACAGCATCAATGTTTCCAGATAAGAGTTTCTTCATGTGTCTGAACCACAACTGATATTTATTAAAACAAGCCAGTCATAAACCACAAAAATGTTTTAAAGATAAGTATAGCTGAAACCAGGTACAGTTTGGACAGATTCGGGCAGAGCAGCCAACAGTTATTTCAAGCCAGGAAACAAGGTACTTCCACTATCTTCATGACCCCCTTTGAAGCAGAACAAGATTGTACTCTGCAGCATAAAACAAGGTTTCCAAGAAAGCTGGCTGTCATAATCAAAAATAGGATTTGAAGGGTTGGGGTTTCTTTAGAGTGAGATCACAGTTTGGTGTTCCCTCAGCCGGTAGAAGAAAAAATAGGAACAGAAATACCAAGGGAAGTGGGAGTGCATGGAAGCTAAGACAACTGAGGTACAGTACAGTATATGTTTCTTTCTTATGGCATGAATGTCAAGCCTAGGTTTCTGAACAGATCTTCTCCCTTTGTTTTGTTTGTTTGGCTGTTTAGTTGGCTTGTTGATTTGTTTTGTTTTGCTGTTGAGTCAGTTTAGAAGTGGCTGAAAGACCAAGTAGCTGGCTGGATGGCTCAGACATTTAGGTATCTGACTGTACAACCAGAGGTTGGGAGTTCAATTCCCCACTGTGCCCCCTGTGAGTACAGGCAACCTGTGTGGCCTTGGGCAAGCTGCACACTCATAGGACACCCTCAGAAGAAGGGAAGAGTAAACCACTTCTGAGTGCTGTTTACCTGGAAACCCCCGAAAAGGTCACTATAAGTCAAAACTGACTTATTATTTAAGACCAAATGCAAAATCAGTTCACATACTGCAAATGACCACCCATAGCATTCCTAGAATTCCAGAAAGATTTCAACAATTAATTGGGATTAAGGTGAAGTATGAGTGGTTCTGGAGGAGGCTCTTGAGAGTCCCCTGGACTGCAAGGAGAACAAACCTATCCATTCTAGAGGAAATCAACCCTGAGTGCTCATTGGAAGGACAGATCCTGAAGCTGAGGCTCCAATACTTTGGCCATCTCATGAGAAGAGAAGACTCCCTGGAAAGACCCTGATGTTGGGAAAGTGAAGGCAAGAGGAGAAGGGGACGACAGAGGACGAGATGGCTGCACAGTGTCATCGAAGCTACCAACATGAATTTGACCCAATTCCGGGAGGCAGTGGAAGACAGGAGGGCCTGGGATGCTCTGGTCCATGGGGTCACGAAGAGTCGGACACGACTTAACAACTAAATAACGAGTAATCATACGACTTAACAACTAAACAACAAAGAGTAATCACACTCATGATTTAAAAATTACAAAAGTCTGCTATTTCACAGACTTCAGAGGGGTTGAAATATTAATATCATTACTGTATTACTACTGAGTTCAAACAAAAATTCTTATTGAGTGATACCATGTTATGTAAGAAAAGTCCTAGCATTGGAAAATGAACCTGAGATTTAACATAAGTATGATTATTATTTAAGTCCTAGCATTGGAAAATGAACCTGAGATTTAACATAGTAAGTATGATTATTATTACTTTAATGGTGACTAGAATTAATGACAAAACAATCAGGTGTCAAGAAGACCAAGTGGACCTGCAAGACACTGCCATCATATGATTTGAAATCCTACAAAATGCACAAAAAATTTGCTGCATTGTATATTTGTGTGTGCCTTTTATGCTGTCAATTGGAAAATGAACCTGAGATTTAACATAGTAAGTATGATTATTATTACTTTAATGGTGACTAGAATTAATGACAAAACAATCAGGTGTCAAGAAGACCAAGTGGACCTGCAAGACACTGCCATCATATGATTTGAAATCCTACAAAATGCACAAAAAATTTGCTGCATTGTATATTTGTGTGTGCCTTTTATGCTGTCAAG